AAATTGCTCAGGGTCCTGGCAATTATGAGTTCGATAAAGCATCTGAGTAAATGCTTCAGCGTGTACTCCTGTTTTAATATTACTAATTGCTATAACTGCATCAAAATAGTTAGGAATTTCAAATGAGATGTCTGACTCATATAGATTACACAATCAAGGCCACTCCAGGTAGCATTAATATCAGCAAAGTCATCCTGGCATTGTTTTCTATCCATTTGACTAAAATAAACTCGTGATAAAACACATGAACCGTCTGGTTTTTGCAACTTAGATGCTTGATTAGCTATTGCCTGAGCCTTTTTGCAGGAGATCATTGAAAAGACAACACGCTTACCTTCTTTAAGCATCTCAAGACCTTTACATATAGCTTCTGAACCTTTATTTGAATCATAAAGGATTTTTACGGTCTCACTTTTACATGGCTGATACTTATTATCAAAAACTCAGATATTTTCACCCCGATATTGTCTTAAGAAGGCTAAAGTCGACTCATTTGCAAAAGCATCTATGGCAACTACGTGAACAGCCGACTTTAACAAATCCCGCATAGTATTTTCAGATTCTCATGCATAGATTCCACTTGCCATTTGACGCATAATACCATTCGCTTTATCTAAAATAACTACATAAGAACGACCCCCATGAAAATTAAGATGATGTGTACTTTCGATCTGAACAATAATAACATCCCAGTCACGTATAGCTAAATTATCTTCATTTTCCTGATAATGGCACACACGAAGCCCAGATTTCTGTAATACTTCGATTTTACTTTTAGTTTCATTACTAAGAGTTTTACGATATGAAACCCAGTTAAAACAAGGTAAACTTGCTTCACTTTTAGCTAAAGAATTAAGAATCTCTCTTAAGGTTTTTGTTTTTCCACTAGTAACAGGTGAGCGAATTAGTGTTGTAGTAGATTCTTCACTTATGAAATCTGGATAAGCTTCTAGGCGTTCTCCATTTCCTTAACATTAATATTATTTCTAGATAATTCTACGAGTGGGCGTGGATGTTTTACAGCCTTGGGCAATCTTTCAATTAATCTCTACTTCTTGAGTTTCACTTCTGATTTGACTTTATCTGATATCTTATTGAAACTAAGCCCTTTGTGATTTGGTTTATATTGTTTTTGCCGATAGCACTTGAGTATAAAATGTCCATTTTTTCGAATAAATCTGTAGAGTTGGTCTTTTTCATATTTAATATCATATATAGGGCATTCTTTAAAATATTGTGCTTGAAAGTTGATAAATCTCTTCTCGATTCTTCTGATCTGGAGCCACCTATAATTTACAATAACTAAATTAGCTTCCTTAACCAAGACATTATCATCGTCGATAGGTTGGTATTCCTCTTCTGCTAGCCTCTCCTCCGAAATGGTTCATAGCCAGATTACAGAATAATTTTCTTTAGGCTGAACCAGGTAATCATCTAAATTTTTAAATTCCTTATTTACAGAAAAGATAGCAGGTCTTTTTATGCGTCCCTCTTTTGCCGATCCAAGAAGTCGAAGACTAAAACATGATTTGGGAAGACCAATATCAATGAATTTGGCATAAGGTTCTCCAACTAATTCTATAACTTTTTCCGTAAAACCTTTGAGTTCTCTATAATCTATGAATTGAGCACGAGGATAGATAATATGCCAGCTGTATTTATTAGTATTCGATAAACTTGCTAATACAAAAGAATTTAAGAAAGGCATGCATCCCGGTATAAGACTCAATGCATCTGCACAAGCGACTAAAATTCGAGATATTAAATCCTCATGATTAACTTTTTCATTATCTAGAGAAGGAAGTTTAAGATTAAAAGGATCAGGCTTTTGTCTCACGTCAATATTGATTACTAAATGAAGAGGTTAATTTCTATCAATACATTCATGGGCATCAGGTATTCTATAAACTTCAGAAGGATAATCAATCACTATATAGCCTTTTCTTGCTACTCAAACTATATATTGAGAATGGATCTCTTCGGGTTGATATATATCTAAAAGTGCAGTATCATTTTTATCAGCTAAGCTGGCACGATCATTAGATGCAAGCCAGTATTTATAAAATGTATGTTCTGTATAGGCAGGTTTATAGTCAAGATTCGTTAAACCCATAAAAAGCCTTTTTGCTTCATTATATTCAGCTAACTTTTGATTTAACCACTGTTGTTATAATGATTCACGAAGATGTTTTTTTGCTTCACTAGACAAACTCATTTTATTGATTTGTATATATGTTGTTTGTATATGTGTGTTGTTTGATCTGACAAAAAGTATATGTTATTGAAACTATATTAATTGGTAGATAAATCTTTAAAACAAAATTAATTATTCCAGAAATTTTAGCCGGATGCCAAAAAAAATTATATATTTGATTGAAGTAATTATTATATATAATCACGATGATATTATACCATTGCCTATATATTCATAGAACTGGAGAAATCTGTGGTCGACATAGTAAATCAGAAAGATATTATATTCATCGTAATTCTCCAATACCTACTCCTTGTAAAGATTGTGGTGAGCCAAATAGGTCTAAATATAATGCATGCAATAAATACGTGGGAAAATATAAAAATAAAGAGAATTATGACAGAAAAAAGCAGGATGAGTTATGTGCACAAATTACTAGATTTAAGAATTATATATCTGACTTTCTCGATTCTATGCACGAAGTCTAATCATATACCTGGCATACGTATATATTGATTATTTTTTCTAGAACCTCTTATTTTAGAAAAATAGCATTTATGTGCCTAAGTAATGTTATATCCTCTTTGATGTCTTTTATATTTTTGGTAATTTTATTATATAAAGCTACAGATTTCAAGACTTTATTTCAGGAGAAATGACACTTTGTGCCTGATCGAACTTGCGTCTTGTTCGTGTCTATTTTCTGATAAGATTACTCAAACAGCAATCTATTCAATTTTGGATATATATACCAACTCATGATAATTAATTTCGAATTGAAAAAAATAAATAGGTTAATGTATAATCACATTCTACTTATCGATATAGATTATTTACATATTTATCATGGCAACTGTCCGAAAAACTAGAAAACCCAAAACTAATAGCTTTACCTTCATTTTGGATCAGGTCCTCAATAAATATAACCTATCGGCTGAATCAAATCCACTTTAATTACGTGCTTATGCCAATGAGCTTAGTACTATGCTACCGGATTGGAAAGCTTGTAAAGATGTGAAAGAGGCTCTTCGTCAGCACTTATTCAAAGAAAATCAAATAAGAGCTCTAGTTCCAAACAACAAAAAGAAAAGGCTTACTATTAAGGAAAGAGCTCAATATTGTGCAAAAACTAAAGATGTGTGGGATATTTGGTTACATGCTTTAGACTTAGCTGTGCCAAAAAATAATATAGATGAAGCAATTGTGGTAGCCAGTTCTCATGTTTCACAATTTTGTAAAGAGTTAGCAGAAGCTAGAGTTGGTTTCAAGCAAATTTATATATATGCCAAATTACTAGAAGTTACTTGAGCTTCTGACAAAATTCAAAAGAGGCAACTCAAATAGCGATTACCCAATCCACCTAAAACTCCTAAACACTTTTCCTTAAAGGAAGGACTTAGAAGAATTCAAAATATCAATACTACTAAAATCTCTACTATACAAGATCTTGCAGATGTAATTATAATATTGAGTATAAGACCTGCCGAAGTTGCCACTCTTCGTATTATCTATTATGAACTCGGTGAATCGAATTCTTCTGAATAGTACAAGCCTGGTTATTTTTGGTATTGTATCAGATATATTAAAAATAAAGGAGAAGCAAAAAATAATTCTGAACCTCGGCAATTTCTATCCATGGAAAAGAATCTAGAATGTGCAAAAGAATTGCTTACCTGGATCCAAGATGCAATAGCAACTGGAAAGTTACACAATTTTGTCTATAGTATTAATGGAAAACGCAGTACAGGAATATTTAGTAAATTTTTAAAATCATATAGTATTACAGCCAAAAGATTAAGAAAAGTTGGAGATAAACATGCTTCTAGAATTTATGGTGATCAAAATCCAATTTCGCAATATCTCGAATTCTTTAGCAGAGTTGCAATGAAGCATAAGATAGATCATCATAATTCTGAAATGTATTATACCAAGGGTGATACTTCCGATTCTAGCCTTGACTCAGATTCAGAACCTGAACCTGAAGCTCTAGCTCCCACACCCAAGACAATTAATGAGAATACTTCTGAAATTGAGGATATCTATGACTTATATGGGAGTATTTAGATTAGTTTATAACTTATTTATTTATTCACTATAATCTAGCTTTACCACTTTGAACCTGCTTTACAATAATTAGACTTATTAGATATTTTTTAAGTAAAGTTATATATGCAAATCAACTCTATAGAATTACCTTATTTATATTAAGAAAAATAGAGGCTGATCACGCTTCCAGAGTACATAAAGGTAGGAATGATTCCTGCTGTCAATATTTACGACAATTGGCATGTAGGCAAAAAATAGGTCATACTTCATCAGTCGAGCATTATGGTATAATGAATGATAGACCAGTTATTCCAGCACATAAGAAAGAAAATACTAAGATATCAGATATTATAGACCTATACAATTACTAATCATGCTTCTTGGTTTTCACCATATTCACAGTAAAATCTTTATCATCATTGCTGGGGATATTTACTTCGTAGCTGGATGATTCAGAGTCAGACCCAGATACGGTATCATTAAAAAATCTCTTTTTTCTTTTAGCTTTGCATAGTGTACGATTTCTTTGGGAAATATCAGGATTTGCTATCGTGTTTATAATATCTTGCTGAATCTCAGGTTTCACTATCTTCAGTAATTGGTGAAAAGGAAATAAATAATATATAAGAAATTTATATATCAGAAATTATTAACTTATAATATATCTGTCTAAAATTAATTATCTAAATTTAGTTATTTTTTCAGTTATAATATATATCATTAAATAGCTACTGTGTAGTTGCTTCCAGCAATATTTGACATGGTTTTTATAAAAACAATTGTAGAGGGAAAAATCATAGTAAAAGCATTAATCGATACAACATCTAAATCCAATACTATTAGCAAGCGCTTGTATAATAAGCTTGAAGAAAATTATGGTTTAAAAGGTATATCTGGTGATGATTTGATAGGCAAAGAAATAAAATGCTTAGATTTGCAATTTCGGTATAAAGGAAAATGACGAAGCTTAGATGGTACTGAAGTAATAGATTTTTAAATTCGCAAAAATCTATCATTTGATTTGATGCTAGGACGGGATTGGTTATGGATACGCGAAGCAAAAATTAGCTTTGGATTTTCTTTAGAAAATTGTAAGTGCTATGCTAAAATTGAGATAGATGATATGAGTATCCCATTAATCAAAGAAGATAGCAGACCTACAGGCGACTCTTCGAGCCATAAAGCTAGCTCCACTAAAAATAACTTATCTATTGCAAAGCAGGCCATATTGTAGAACAATGGCACTTACGTGCCTAGGCGATTCTCTAAATCATGGGACTTTGTCCCTAAATCAACAGAATATAAATCTGGTCTAGCTCAAGAGGAGGTTATAAATATAATTAACAAAATTCTCTCAAATACCAAAGATAGACTTGAAGGGTCATTGTTTTGTAATAATAAGCAACGAAAAAAACATCATGGAATATTTCACAACAAATCTGAAACAGAGACTGATTCATCCAGCTCCGATTCAGAATCCACAGATTCAGACTTGTATAATCTCAACCCAATAAAACCCCGAAAGAAGAGGCAGAGCCTCGAATATCTGATTCATCATGTTTATGTTAAAAAAAAAAAGGTTGTTTCTCCTATCCGAAAACATCATAAAAATAAGCATACCAACTGTGTCCGCATTCCAGAGTAATGATCTATCTAATCAACTATAATAACTGATGCGAGTGGAAGGTCTTTGAATCGTTCTTCGATGTGGGCTAAAACCTTTCTAGATAATATTTTCGATGAAGGTACCTCTATCAATACTTTTTCAGCACTTTTTTCAGTACATATATATACTTACATTATATGTATTAATTTTCCGCCCTTATAGTTATATCCATGATGAAGTAAAAATTGATACTCATTCATTACAATATCAATCATCTCCTCCTGTTCTGTTATTAATTCCTGAAAAAGCTGTTTATCTTTATCTGTAATTAGGAGGAGGATTTTTTCAGGACCTGATCTAACTTTGGAGAAGCTCACGAATATACTAACCACACTTACCCATAAGCTAAAAATCAGCTGCAATTGCCACTGAAGATCTAGCGATGATCCTTTAGATTGAAACTTTGACTCTCCTGGCTCATACTAATTAATTCGTGAATGAACGGATCGCCAAATCCGAAATTAGCTTAATAGAATCTGCAAATTAGTTTTATTAGTCGTAAGAAATAAACTATATAAAAAAGCTAAGTATAAGTAATTTCGTTATTAAAAACTTATCTGGTAACTCATCATTATTAT